TTGAGTATGTGCATCAGTGAAATTCTTGGAATTTAAATGGGGTTTTACCATTTAACCAACTTTTTAAAGCAAAAATGAAATGTGACGTTGCTTTTAGACATTTGATGTTATTATGTGTGAGTCTTAAGGCGATACCACACATGACTTAAAATTCCATATCAATTTGAAATTTGTTTGTTTATATTGATGAAAAATGTACTTTTTTTTAAGAGTAGGTGAAATTTCAGAAAGCAGTGTTGATTATTTTTCACTCTAGACAACTTGTCCCCTATTTTACCAGACAACCTTCTTTTGCAGATCAATTGTACATCAGAGATAAGCATATTACATGTTTTCAATTTTTGATTATTTATGAGAAAAACAGCAGCATTTGAAATTAATGTAATTCTTTTTAGGTCACCTGAGTCACTCAGGTGACCTATTGCTATCTGTTTTTGTCCGTCGGCGTGCGATGTGCATTAACATTTGAACATTTTTAGCTTATTCTCTGAAACCGCTCAATCAATTTCAACCAAATTTGGCATATAACATCTATAGGTGAAGGGGAACAAAAATTGTGAATTTCATGGTCCCTGCCCCCCTGGGGCCTGAGGGGTGGGGCTAAAACCACCAAAATGAATGCAATCTTTAAAAATCTTCTTTACTCCTGGACATCAAGCAGTCAAACTGTTGGCATGATTGTAATAAGCATTGAGCCCTCTACCAAAATTGTGAAATTCATGGCCCCAGGGTCAGGGGTTCTTTGCTAGGCTTAGTAGGGCAGGGCTATATAGATCATATAGTGAAAGTGCATTATTTCTTTGAAAATCTTCTTCTCTGCTCCTGGGTATTAAATAAACTAACTAAGTATATAGTTATGATGAGCAAGTGTGCCTCTTCCAAAATTGTGAAATTCATGGCCCCAGGGTCAGGGGTTCTGGTGTTAGGGCGGGGCTCTATTGATTATATAGTGAAAATGCATTAATTCTTTGAAAATCTTCTTCTCTGCTCCTGGGTATTAAATAAACTAACTAAGTACATAGTTAGGATGAGCAAGAGTGCCTCTTCCAAAATTGTGAATTTCATGGCCCCTGGGTCAGGGGTTCTGGTGTTAGGGTGGGGCTCTATTGATTATAGAGCAAAAATGCATTAATTCTTTGAAAATCTTCTTCTCTGCTCCTGGGTATTAAATACAGTAACTAAGTACATAGTTATGATGAGCAAGAGTGCCTCTTTAAAAATTGTGAATTTCATTGCCCCAGGGGCAGGGGTTCTGGTGTTAGGGCGGGGCTCTATTGATTATATAGTGAAAATGCATTAATTCTTTGAAAATCTTCTTCTCTGCTCCTGGGTATTATTGAAACAAATTAAATACATAGTTATGATAAGCAAGGATGCCTCTTCCAAAATTGTGAAATTCGTGGCCCCTGGATCAGGGGTTCTGATGTTATGGCAGGCTCTATTGATTATAAAGTGAAAATGTTTTAATTCTTTAAAAATCTTTTTCCCTGCACCTGGGTATTATTTAAACAAACAAAGTACATTGTTATGATAAGCAAGGATGCCTCTTCCAAAATTGTGAAATTCATGGCCCCGGGGACAGGAGTTCTGGTGCTAGGGCAGGGCTATATAGATCCTTTAGTGAATGTGAATTATTTCTTTGAAAATCTTCTTCTCTGCCGCTGGGTATTGTTTAAACAAACTAAGTACATTGTTATGATACGCAAGGATGCCTCTTCCAAAATTATGAATTTTATGACCCCAGGTTTAAGGGTTCTGGTGGGGGGGGGGGGGGGGGGGGGGGGCTTCTATTGATTATAAAGTGAAAAAGCAAAATTTCTTTGAAAATATTCTTTTCTGCTTCTGGTTATAAAAGCAAAGACGCTAAGTGTATAGTTATGATGAGCAAGAGTGCTTCTTCCAGAGTAGTGAATTTCATGACCCCTGGGTCAGATGTGTTGGTGTGAGGGTGGGGCCCTTGATAATGTAGTAAAAATGCATTAATTCTATTAAATAATCCTCTTTGCTCCTTAGTGTTAAGCAGAAAAACAAAGTGATTAGTTATGATTAGCAAACTTATGTACCCAGGGTCAGAAGCTCTGGTGTTTTTTTGGGGGGGTGGGGGGGGCTCTATTGATAATATAGTGAATCTGTAGTAAAAATGCATTATTTTTTTAAAAATCTTCTCTGCACCTGGACATATCTGAGGCAAACAGTGTAAAAATTTTTATAAGGAAGGGAATTTTTACCAGATTTTTGAACATCTGGACCATTTGGTCAAGTGTTCTGGTCCTGGCCAGGGCTCTATTAGTTTGTATTCTACTGAGAGGAGTTATTCCCCTTTGCCATTTACTTTTGATAATTTATCACTGTAAATAATGTACCTGAAAGGTAAATAGAATAAGAGAAATATGCAAAACATTTTATTGTATAATACAAAAAGCACTTTCAGAGTTTTAATGATCAGATAGACTTGTAAGTAGCAGATAAATAAAAATGAGACAAAAATAACTTGTCTTATTAGATGTTCATCAAAGACCAAGAGAGGCCAATGTAAGACATTTCATCAAGGGATTAAAATAGTACAGAAGCATTGATAATTTGTTAATATACTATATGGTGATAGTGATAAATGGGGAACAGATTAGAACCTAATTTATGAACTGTTTATGAATATTAAGACCAATTATTTTGTTGATCATGTTCACCCTATTTTTCTTGCTTTTGGGCAACAAAGCTTCTTATTTCAGTTCATTTTATACTCTATGCATCCTTTAAATTGTTGTATCATACTCAGGTGACCGATAAGGCCCTTGGGCCTCTTGTTTTTTGTTTTTTTTTTGCAAAATATTGCTTATAGGGTACATGTATTTAAATGTAGTTAAATCCTCCAACAGTTTTCAAGATGAAAATATTTTTATTTTGCATTTCAACTGAACATATATATCAGAGATGTGCATATCATTTGTATTTTGATTTTTGGTATAAATATATAAGAAAAATACTGTGGAATCATTATTGTTCATGGAAATTACTAATGTTGGTAGATTTCACTGGTCACCCTTACTTACAAATTTACATCCCCACAAACGTTTATGTTGTAAATATATTGATTCATTGAATCTACCATATTAATGAGTAACCCATTACCTCCACACAAACAAGTAAAATATTGCTTGCCCCTGGACATCGATCCCCACGAATTAAATGATTCCACAGTACCAGCTGTTAAACTTTTATGCCCCTGTATTGAAAATTCGGGGGTAAATAGTTTTTGCCCTGTCCGTCTGTCTGTTTGTCTGTCTGTCCACAAGAACTTTAACCTTTCCCATAACTTTTGATTGGTTGGAGCTATGACTTTCATAATTCACATGTGTATTCCTTGTGACAAGACCTTTCTTTGGGTACCATCATTTTTGACCTTGACCTTGGAGTTTGACCCACCTTTGCAAAAATTTTTGAGACTTTAAACTTGGTTATAACTTTCGAACAGTTGGTGCTTGGGCTTTCAAACTTCACATGTGTATTCCTTGTGACAAGAGCTTCCTTTGGATTCCAACAACTTTGACCTTTTGACCTTGACCTTTGAGTTTGACCTATTTATGAAAAACTTTAACCTTGGCCATAACTTTTGAACAGTTGGTGCTAGGGCTTTCATACTTCATTTGTGTTATTCTTTTGACATGACAATCCTTTGGATACCAACCACTTTCACCTTGACCTAGGAGTTTGACCTTCTTTTTAAAAAAACTTAACCTTGGCTATAACTTTTGAACTGTTGGTGCTAGGGCTTTCATACTTCACATATGTAATCCTTGTGACAGTACCTTCCTTTGGATACCAACCACTTTGACCCTTTGACCTTGACCTAGGAGTTTGACCTACTTTTGAAAAACTTTAACCTTGACCATAACTTTTGAACGGTTGGTGCTAGGGCTTTCATACTTCACAAGTGCATTCCTTTTGACAAGACTTTCCTTTGGATACCAAAAATTTTGGCATTGACCTTAATCTTGGAGTTTGACCTACTTTTAAAAAAAAACTTTAACCTTGGCCAACATGTAAACATTTGGTTCTAGGGCTTTCACATTTCATGAACATGTGTATCACTTGTGACAAGACCTTCCCTTGGTGCCCCATTGACGTTTTACTTACTTTTAAAAAACTTTAACCTTCGCCATTACTTTTGAATAGTTGGTGCTAGGGCTTTCAAATTTCACAGGTATATTCCTCGAGACAAAACCTTTCTTTGGGTATCAACATTTTTGATCTCTTGACCTGAAGTTAGACTTGCATTCGAGAAACTTTAACCTTCGCCATTAGCTGCCATATGGGGGCATCAGTGTTTCACAAACACATCTTGTTTTTAGCAAGTATTACATATATGGTACATCATTTGTGATAATAGCTCCTTTTGCAGGTAGCAAGAAGGAAGTTTTTATTTTGCAGATTAATTGTACATATATTAGAGATGTGCATACTACTTGGATTTTGAGTTTTGATCATTTACTGGGAAAATACCATTTGTTGAACTTAGTCAATTTTGTGCAAAATATGCTTATAGGGTACATTGATTTTGTTGGGATATCATCTCCTACAGTTTTCAGAATAGAAAGTTTTTATAATTCATGTGAAAAATATAATTTACTGTTGATACAAAGGAAAACATGGTTGATGTCACATTGACAGCTTTCCCCTTGTGTTATGTTAATTTCCTTTATTTTTTGGGTGGAAGGTGGGGGGATTTAAGCCCCTCCTTTGTTCCCTCCATTTTGCTTTAGCCAGTTCTGTTCCCATTTGTCATTTATTATATCAACAATATTGTTTCATTATTTTTCATTAGATGTTAGATATACGTTTAAAATCCTTCCCCCCTTACAAATTGGCAAAAATAAAACTGCAGAAAAAAGTAGCCGAGTAAAAGGATTTGTCAACAGAACTAAAATATATAAAATGTTTGATAACAAAAGAATTTCTCACTGCTATACTTTATAACATCTATGTAAATCCGTACCTTTCAGGACTTGTTTGGCAATAGCTGGAGAGGATTTCGTTGTTGTGGGTTCAGATACAAGGTTAAGCCAAGGATTTTCTATCCACACAAGGGATTTACCCAAAACATATAAACTGTGAGTATTAGTAACAAACAAAGAATTTCATTAAAAAAAATTAAAGGCATTTGTTCATGTTGGTATCACCAAAATATTTTTTTTTAGCAAAGCAACTAAAAAAAATTATCTGCCAATAAGGCAATTTTTCACAAGATTTTGTTGTATGCAACATTTTTAGCTCACCTAAGCTCATAAGCTTTGATCAACAATTGTTCTGTGTTTATTTGTCGGTCTATTTTTAGTCTGCATATTTTCATTCTGACTGTATCCCTATCACATTCTTACATTGTCATCTTTTCCAAAAAAAATTCTTTCAATTTCTAGTTTCAACCTAAGTGTTGAACTTAGACATCTGTGTTGTAATAGCTGATTATGAACTGGGATATAGTATGTGTATCTGAAAATATCACCTTTATACTTCTCAATCTTTTTTTCAGAACAAACTCAACAGTGTTAGGAGCTTGTGGATTTCATGGAGATGTGTTAACTCTAACAAAAGTTTTAAATGCTCGATTAAAGGTAATTTATTACTTGTTTAAACTTGAATATGAATTTCTATATGTCCGTCTTAAGACCGGACATACTATATTATGGCGTTGGTAGACAGACACCTCGGCCCAACGACACCTCGGCCCGTCATGTTTGACACCTCGGCCCTGACAGGTCAGCCCAAAATTATTGACACCTCGGCCCAAGGATTTTTTTATTTTCAGAATTAGTATCTGTATTCCCTATGGTAATATAAATGTTTGTATGTATGTATGTATAATGACGATATGTAAACAATAAATAGGAGCAGATAATTTCAGAATTGTTGAAAGAACGACAGCATAGATATCAGCTAGTATCTATATATATTGAGTGGGAGGTAGGAGGCCTATTTATTTATTCATTTTGTTGCTTAATACAATGCAACTTTAATTTATTCATTTCATGATGTTAAGAATTCTTTTTTTGGTTAGGATATGTTAAAAATTGCATATAATCTAACATTTTTTTTCACTTAAAAATTTTCTGAGGGTCTTAAAAAGACTAACTGGTTTTCATTTTTTTTTTTTTAATATTTCATTCAACTAATCCCTATACATGCATTTATAAATTTAAAATATGATTAAAACAATTTAAAACGAAATCTGTATTAGTTGTTGACATATGTATTTCTATTAAAAATATCAAGCACCCAATGATGGACCTAAGTTCACTTGATTGACGGGGGTACACAGACCAGGTAAATCTGAAGGTGGTGCTTATTATCTGGAGCTTTAATCCTGCTCGTAATTAACTCCTCATTGTCACCACCCCATATGACTCTAAAGGATGCGCCGTGTCTTCTTATTTGTTTAACGATTAGCACTTTGAAATGGATTGTCTTTTTTTAATTACCGTCAATTTACTCTCGGAAGATTATTCATTTATTTTCTTTCTCGCTTCATGGATATATAACAATATAATCCATCGCATAATCCTCGTATAGTCCCTATCATAATAAAAATACTTCAGAATATATTGAATAAATATATTCAAAATAATATATTTTTGTTTGTGCCGAGGTGTCTTTTATGTGAGCCGAGGTGTCTCAAATCTTGGGCCGACCCGTCGGGGCCAAGGTGTCAATGGGCCGAGCTGTCTGACATTCATGGCGTTCATGTCCGTCTGTCTGTTAGTTTTCATGTCCGGCTCATAACTTTAATATTTTGAGGACTAGAATTATCAAACTTTGTCAGGTGGTACATCTTGGGTAGAAGGTGTGTCGCACATTAAAAATAGGTTGCTGTGACCTGTAATCAAGATGCTATGGCCAATTATGGAAAAATCCTGTCCGGCTCATAGCAAGAAAACTAACTGACATAGAATCATCAAATTTGATCAATTATTGTATCTTAGGTAGAAGGTGTGTCGCATCCTACTTAAAGGTCATTGTGACCTTCAATTAAAGTGATTTTTTTTTTAAAGCTATATTTTTTAACTTTTAAATTATGCAATCCCTACAGATGTAAGATTATTACAGTAACCTTAATTATTAAAAAGTGTTAAATCAAGAAGTTACACATTTTTTTTCACTATATGCTTTACAGCAATCTGTAACAAATATAATGTTTCTTTCATGTCAATAGCCAAAGAAATTCCACTTCTCCCATGGGTGTAATTATCAAGCAATGGTCAAGGAGAATTTTGATAACAGAAAATTTCATGTCGAATTAGAGATTAATTAATTAATTAGTGTAAGGAGATTTCTGGCAGAGTATCTCTGATCAAGCAGGTGTTATCTATATATGTCTTGGGCATTGGGCAGAGAAAATCTAGCCTCTAATTGCAATTGATAGTTTGTCAGATTAAATAGTCCTTATTGGCTAGCCATTACTTTCAAAATAAATTTGTTGTAAAGTAATGAAAACTAATTTGATATTGTGCAATACATTATTTTTTTCAATTTTAATTTTTCTATCTCTACAACAAATTGTAGTGTCATGTCTCACTATGATGACAAGAATAAACATAAACATACTAAGTATTTAGATTTTTTATTAGGCTATAGTATTGTTAACCATTCATAAAAAATACAATGAACAAAGTTGGTAAAACTTTAACACAACCAGCTGAGAAATATATGACGTTTTATCTGTTTCCTATTAATACCTACACCATAGGAGATGCACTTCAAATATTAGAAATGGAAAAATCATTGAAATCTTTGTATCAAGGTTGACATGATTTTCTTCCTTGCACTCTAAACTGTTTATGATAATTGAACAATATTTGACAGGCGTATCATATGCTGTGCAGTGCACTTTATTTTGATAGGTAAGATAGAATGGTAGCAGGATGTTGAAAATCGTGGATATATCACTTTAACTCTAACTTTTATGACTTGTTATTAGTACATGTATATGTTTTAACTTTACAGATGTTTGAACATGAGCACCATAAAAAGATGACTACATCAGAGATAGCAGCCATGTTGTCCACTATGTTGTACCACAGGAGGTTCTTCCCTTACTATGTAAACAACATAATAGCAGGACTAGATGAGGAAGGTACTTCTGTTAGACAAACCTGAATATTGTACATGTATCTGTGCACATATGAAAAAAAATTATTCATGTACTTTCAGCAATTATCTGACAATAAGATTTTGTGCCATACATGTATTTCAATAATCGTAACACTGAAATTTGTAAAAATAAATAATGTTAGTTGTTTGTCCTAGTTTGTTTTGTTCAATCCAAGATTGTCTTTGACAGGTAAAGGTGTAGTGTACAGTTTTGATCCGGTAGGGTCCTATGGATCAGATGGCTACAGAGCAAAAGGATCAGCAGCTCCTATGTTACAGCCATTGCTAGATAACCAGGTATATTAATTTCGAGACCTGCTTCAATACTCTCAGAATCTTCCGTTAGTGTAGGTTAAATCCTTATGATCTTAAGTTTGAATTCATAATCTATTATTTTTAGGAATGGCAATGGTTAAATGGCACTAATCGGTCTGAAAGATCATAATTGTTACATTTTTCATAACCAGTTAGTTGATCGTTTTTGTGGTAAATGTACTTTTGAAATATTTTCTTAATATTAAACCTCCTATGCAGCTTGTTTAATCTTGAAATTTTAAACCTCCTATGCAGCTTGTTTAAATCTGAAATGTAGCAATCAACCAATTAAATAATTCACAAGACACTATGGCAGTCAAAACAAGTCCCCATATTTTACTAGTCATTATAACCCTGAAAAATAATCAAAGTTTAAGTACCCCTGTAGCTACAGAAATCTGATTATCATAGTTAAGCATTTTTTCAATAGATTGTTCTATATAGATATAAATTGAATGTCATAATTCATTAGAAAATTACAAGCAATTTGTATCTGTTCAATTAACCAGTTACTCAATTCAAAGAATTTATGACTAACAGGTTGCACAAATTTTTCCGATTGCCATCCCCTAATTATTTTCAAAAATTTCCAAGAAGTTAATCATTTTATTCCACAATGAATGAACAAAAAGAAAATGTTCATGGACAAAATATATGGTAAAGTTATCATTAAGGGTCAAATTTTTGTTGATGTCATTTATACGGCTGCTTTTTTTAGCTCACCTGAGCTCAAGTAAGCTTTTCTGGTCACCTCTTGTCCGACTTCTGTAAATTTTTCACTTTGTTGAATTTTTCTCAAGAACCACTGGGCCTCTAAAAGCTGCCTCTTTGAATCAAAATTGACACAAAGCATCTTTGGGTAAAGGAAATTCTAAATTGTTGTAAGTGCTATCTATAAAATTTTCTTCATTTGGAAGGTTTAGTAATATGTACTGGCCCGGTATTTCAGTTCTTTTGAGAAAGCAAAATTTTATCGACAAGATTTTTTAAAAATTTCAGATTGGACTAAAAAATCAGCAGAATGTCCCCCGAGTACCACTGTCAAAGGAAAAAGTGGTGAAGCTGGTAAAGGATGTGTTTATATCAGCAGCTGAGCGTGATATTTATACTGGAGATGCAGTGGTGCTTCATATCATTACCAAGGATGGCACAACCACAGAGCGTTACCCACTTAGAAGGGATTAACCACAGGGAACATTCGGATTATCTCTTATAGTGCTATGTGAACAACTTAAAATGTTACATGTGATTATGACGTGCAACTCAGTGTTTATTTCATAAAGAAAATTGGAAGTACATCAGTAAAAGATATCATTTATTCATTAAATTTTGTAAGAAACAGATCTTAAATTTTTAATTGTGGTGAAATACAGTGTCCCTGGAATTTCATTTTTTTTTGCACAAGAATTCCATGAGCCATGACCATTGGTCACATTTATTTTTATGAAGGTTAGTAGATGGATATATATTAGGGATGGCAATTGGATAAATTTTTGTAACTGGTTAGTTGCAAATTTTTCCAACAGAATAACTGGTAAACCAATCAGATAAAATTTGTTTGTAATTTTTTTTTTATGAATTATTCAACTTATATTCTTTCAAAGCAATTTATAATCAGAATTCTTTACCTTTTAATCAAAGTTAAAAAAATTAACATGAACGTTTATTTCGCAAGTTATTGCAAACAGGGTCAAACCATATCTTCACTGACATTCGTGTCAATTTTCTTACTTTTTAAAAAATGATTTCATGACCACTGATGATGACTTAGTAACTTCACATATTATTCTCAAGAAATCACTCTGATGGCATAGATGTTCTTAGAATTGCAAGATATTTTACTGAGATTCTGAGAATCGCAAGATATTCTACTGATAGATTCTGAAAATAGCAAGATATTTTAATGATAAAATGTAAAGTTTTGAGAATTTAGTGCTATTAAAATGTTTCCAATGAAGGGGGGGGGGGTTCTGATCAGGCATACACTAGTTCACTATTGAATTGCACAATGTGAACTAGTGTACCATATTAAACAAACACCTCATTTCTTAATTGTGATTGCTTGGAGTTAGGTTTTTGTTCTTTTGTTTTAAAAATTTGAGGTCCCAAATTTTTCTTAATATATTGCCAATCTGTTAATGTTGGTGGCATTCCACTGAATAAATTGCAAAGTTTTGTAATGATTTGTTTAACAAAATTAATTACCCAGTTAAACATTACTCAGTAGAAAATTAGTTGTTGTTTTTAAAATATATAAACTGGATCAAAAGTGGATAGGATTTTTTGTACAGGGGTATGTAAACTTTGATTACCTGTAGTATTTAGGGTTATAATGATTCATTTGCTAATTGCTAGGATATGTTTTGCGTATTGTGAATTTTCGACTGGTTGATTGCTATATTTCAGTTGGAGAAGATTTTGTTGTGGTGGAAGTGCAACGTCATAAGCGAAAATCAAAATTCGATCACACTTACATTGCACAGAAGCTGTTGCAAACTTGCAATGGCTCTTCCATTAATTGTAACTTACCCGAAGGATAATACAGGGATTTTGAAATACAAACCCTTATTGCAGTCAAGGCTAGGAGTTAAAAAATGTAAATATAAGCATTGAATCATTATTTTTTGAAAGATACAGTCTCATATTTAATATGAGACGCGTTAGCGCGTTACGAAAATTTGTTTGCAAACACCGTTGCAGTTATGACTCATAACTGCGACGGTGTGTGCAAACAAATTTTCATAACGCGCTAACGCGTGTTATTCAATTTGTTTGCACACGCCGTTGCAGTTACGAGACTATATCTTTCAAAAAATAATGATTCAGTGCTTAATTATCACATCACCACTGACAACAAAAATTTTACCGGCTCATTGGGATGTAATTTTGAGGGTAACTCCTATACATATTGAATGCAAAGATGTGTTAGCAATTAATATCATCGTTCATGGGGATATATAAATTTAATTTCCTATTTTACCAACCATTGAAACATTCATCAAAATCAAAAATTGATACAAAGAATTATTATCAATATGCATCTTAGTCTAATAAACTTGTATGCCATGTGATAACAAAATCAGACTAAAACTGTAAAAGAAGTAATAAACATTTTGAAAGTATTAAGTAACCATGGCAACACCGTTCACTGAACTCAAAAACCAATAAACAGAATTATGTGTCTTAGTGTAGTCTACTTGCGTACCAAGGTAAATTGAAATTGGACCAAAACTGTAGGAGGAGTACTGTTTTGAAAGAATGTCAGAGAAATTTCAGTCTTAGTAACCATGGCAACACTGTTCATCAAAATCAAAAACCAATGAACAGAATAATGTATCTAAAGTTTACTTGTGTGCCAAGTTATACTGAAATCAGACCAAAACTATAGGAGGAGAAGCATTTTAAAAGTAATTTACGGAAATTTCAATTTTTAGTAACCATGGCAACATCATTCATTGAAATCAAAAACCGATAAAAAAAAAAGTGTGGCCTACTTGTGTGTGTGAAGTTATAATAAAACAAGAGGCCCAAGGGCCTAGAATCGCTCTTCTGAAAATTGTACAACCTATAATCTCATCTTTTTTAAGCCTCTTGGTAACCTATATATAAGAATAAAGCCTTGAAATTCCAAAAGTAGGTCAGCATGGCAACAATTGACAAAGTTTAATAATTCCAAGCCAATTAGCATCTTAAATATTTAAATTTAGCCATGAAGTTGCAAAAGTAGGTCACAGTGACTTACTTTTTGGTTGATACACTCCGAGGATGCATCAACTAACAAAATGCATCAAGATGAATTGGATGCATCATTATAGTATATGTAATGATACATCATTTTGGTCAACTTTGAAGTGACCTTGAGACCACGCCTTTTGTCCCAGGGCGATGCCTTGAACAATTTTTAATCTACATCATATCCTCATCCTTGTTTGTAAGTTTGGTGATAATCTGCCCAGTGGTTCATGAGAAAAAGATTTTTTAGCAACCAGTACTTTTGATTTTATTTTCCTACATGTAATTATCTCCCCTTGTTTAAGGGTTCCATCCCTATTTTTAGTACAAATGAGAGCCCTTGGGCCAAGGATACTCCGTGACAAATTTGAGAAAAATTGGTCAAGGGTTTCTTGAGTTATGGCCCATTTTCCAAAAAGTTCACAAATTTTGGTTATTGCTCTATATAATCTTTTAATAATATAATTATAGTTATACGACAGAATGAAATTTTTGGTGACTAGACACTCTCATGAAAATAAAGTTCTCGCAAATAAACAGTGATGTACACTATTACTTCTGAGGGGCAGTGCAATGATACAAGATTATTTTGTTGTTGTTTGACCATACTTCACTAATAAAGGCTGGTGAAAACATACAAGCAAAAACCATAATAAGTGTAGAAAGATGTTTATTACATCCATAATACAGATGTTCAATAAAGTCTGATTGTAAAATTGAAAAATAAATGGTACAAAACAGACATTGGATGTGGTGAACAATATTGATAAGAACCCATCAACCTAAGTTTTTATCAAAATAACTTGTAAAACAGTTTAAACTCGAACAGTAAAATACAAAACCATCAACCTTGCTTAATATAAAGAAGCAGAGTGGCAATTTGCATGGATCTGTCATTTTTCTTTACAGGTACAGTTAAGAAGCTTACAAGTATAATGACTCTATCTGCGCTGACAGTTTATATTACAAGATTACCACATCCATGTTCAAGTGTGGGCCCCAGAAAGGGATTCATCACTTTTTGGGGCCCCCAAGCGGTTGGCCCTTGTCTTTGCCACGTAATTTCATCCCTGAAAATAATTTTTTAAAAAAACAAAGTTAATTTTCTTTTCTACCATAAAAGCTACAACAATGTGAAATTTTTCTAATGATAAAATGCTAATTAGTTAAGCTTTCTAAAACTCACCAAGAACTCTCTCCATTTTGGCTAGTACTTGTTGGTTAGGGATTGCCTTTCCATTTTCATATTCAGTGATGATGTGGACCTTTTCATTTATTTTCTGAATTGAATAATAGAGAAACCATTATATGGCATTTCAAAATTAATTTTAAACCAGATATATCTGATAAGACTGTAGATTTACTGGTTTGTACTAAGAAAAAATGTACTTGTGGGGTCTTTTTTTAAGTTCTACATTAAATACAGAATCCTTAGGTGTATCTTAGTATAGGCTGTACCATGTTTTATTGAAATCAAACCAAAACTGTAGGAGGAGAACACTCTTTAAGATTTTAAAAAAAAAATTCTGTATTTAGTAATCTCACCAACATCTTAATGAAATCAAAAATTGATATTTAGAATTACATGTATATACATGTACATTGGTTTGATCTACCTGTGAATTAAGTTCAATTGATATTGAACCAAAACTGTAAAAAGAGCAAAGATTTGAAAGAATTTTGCAGAAATTTCTCCTTTTTGTGACTGCAGCAACATTTCTCATTAAAAAAAAAAATGGATATCCACAGAATTATGTATTTTGATGTAGTCTATTCATATTCAATTTATATATATATATATATATATATCTAGATTATAGGAAGGGTAGCATTTTGAAAGAATTCCACAAAAAAATTGCCTCTCCCCCTATAATTTTACCAATTATACTGTACAGTAGAAAACAAAGCTAAAATAATTCGTAGTGGTGCACCTCATTTAAAAATAATTTACAGTTGTGCACTTCATTTATAAAGTAAGACAACATTTCTTTCTTTGTCTAGGAATGTCTGTTAGGTTCTGCCCTCCCAAACAGATATTGCTTCCTGAGGGCCTGGAGATCCCTAAATAGGTCTATATAACTTGTAATTTGACTTCTTTTTATCCTTTATATCAATTCCAGATATTAATGTATGCTTTACTTTGTTCCTTATCTTCCAGGAAATGGCCAGGTATACACTATTCAAACCTTGCTTAATACTTATTTGTACATTTATAGTTCCCCAGAAAGCCAGTGACATGCCTAACAATCAATAAATTACAGATCCATGCATAAACATTAGAATTTACTGAAAAAAATGCAGAATAATAGAAAAATAAGAAGATATATAAGTAAGTTGGTTAATTTTTTGTTTATTACACAACATTTTTAACAAATTATGCTAAAATTTACATTTGACAATCTTAGGATATCTGTTTAAAACTTGCAGCCAGTTTTAAAGATAAACCTTCAATTGTTCAGTCTCATACAAAAAAAAAAAAAAAAAAAAAAAAAAAAAAAAACAAGATGTGTTTGTGAAACACTGATGCCACCGTATGGCATCTTATGGCGAAGATTAAAGTTTCTCAAATGCAAGTCAAACTCCAGGTCAAGAAATCAAAAATGTTGGTACCTAAAGAAAGGTCTTGTCTCAAGAAATATACCTGTGAAATTTGAAAGCCCTAGTACAAACTGTTGAAAAGTTATAGCCAAGGTTTAAGTTTTTTTAAAGTAAGTAAAACAGCAAGGTCAAGGTCAAATGGTGCCTAAGGGAAGGTCTTGTCACAAGTGATACACATGATCGTGAAATGTGAAAGCCCTAGAACCAAATGTTCAAGTGTTATAGCCAAGGTTTAAAATTTTTAAAAGTAGGTCAAACTCCAAGGTCAAGGTCAATGCCAAAATTGTTGGTATCTAAAGAAAGGTCTTGTCACAAGGAATGCATATGTGAAGTATGAAAACCCTAGCACTAACTGTTCAAAAGTTATAGCAAAGGTTAAAATCTTTCAAAATTGAAAAAGGTCAAGGTCAAAAGGTCAAGTTGTTGGTATCCAAAGAAAAGTCTTGTCACAAGGAGTAAACTGCATAGTATGAAAGACCTAGCACGAAGAGTTCAAAAGTTATGGCCAAGGTTAAAGTTTTTTTCAACAGTAAGTCAAATTCCAGGTCAAGGTCATAGGGTCAAAGATGTTGGTATCCAAAGAAAGGTCTTGTCATAAGGAATACACATGTGAAGTTTGAAAGCCGAAGCTTCAACTGTTCAAAAGTAATGGCCAAGGTTAAAGCCTGATAAAATTTTGCAAAAGTGGGTCAAACTCCAAGGTCAAGGTCAACAGGTCAAATATGATGGTACCCAAAGAAAGGTCTTGTCACAAGGAATACACATGTGAATATGAAAGCCATAGCTCCAACCAATCAAAAGTTATGGGCAATTTTAAAGTTTTTGTGGACAGACAGACAGACGGACAGGGCAAAAACTATATGCCCCTAAATCTTCGATTACGGGGGCATGAAAACAGATTTCAGTATAAAAATAAAAATTTTATTACAAACTGGGATGCTAATCTTAAAATTAAATTTGCTTTTTTTATTGAACATGTAAAAATTAAAAATATGCAACAAGACAATGGCTTTACATTTTTATGAAGAATGAAAACTGCCTTTAAAAAAATTTAGTCAAGTCACAAATAACCAATAATGTATAATAAATAGATCAAAGTTTTTAAATACCATGGACCAACACCTGAAATAATAAATCTTGAGCATAAGTATCTTTTCTTGTAAAATGAATCTATGCAATCTACTCAATTATTGCTAGGGATTTTTAAATGAACCTTGATGTGTTTATTTCAGGTTGTGATTTCCCACTTTGCTATCATTCTGACTGTTCCATTCCACAGAGAATTGCATCAATTCACAGGAACATTGAACAACCTTCTCAGTTTTGTCTGACATGAATTACATTTCTCTGAAGTTTAAGATTTGATATATACATGTATTTAGTGATGCCTGAACAGGCAAATCTAAATTCATTTATTTAAAGGATACTTACTCTTAGCCCCCTTATAAATTGTAAATATACCCCTGGCCAAAATGGCACCACTATTTTATCTAAATGTATCTAATGTAATGGTATATATCTATATGACATGCAAGGAATAAAATACAATTCAATCAATACTTAGAAAGTTATCAAATTTACAATTTAGTAACATAATTATTTAACCATATCATTTTCCAGTTACTTTGACTTTGGAATTTAACATTCAATATTCTATTTAAAGTTTCCTAAGTTATAACAGTGAACACAGTATAAATACTTCAATGCCCAACCTTGTTATCTCGAACTCAATGTGACCAAGAAAAATCTTCAAGATATTGGAGAAATCAAGATATTGAGGATAAAATACTTCAAGAATAAGCAGTTGGGACTTCAAATTACTTCGACATATCCAAGGTATTCGAGATATCAGTGTTTGTGATACTGAAGTTCAACTGTATATATAAACAGTGGTTTTAAAGAATGAAGATACATACACATGTGACCATAAATATATAATGTTGCAATATAGTTGACTATTTTGTGACCATAATCATAAATTGTGACAATATAGTTGACTATTTTTTTCATTCCAGTTATACTTTACTCATACTTTGATTGGGTGATTAACTTGATTTTATCCCAGTATGACAGCATTTCAGTAATTTTTCAGTTGATAATATGCAGCAAAATTTTGTGAGTCATATAAGCTATTCAAAGGAACATGAAAACACACTCACTGTAGCCAGATCTTTCTGAGTGAGCTTCTTCTCACTGCGTCCTTGCTGGATCAGTTTGGACACATCCATGGAGACTGTATCATGATGGAGCTCTTCTGTTTCACGGTCTAACTTGGCAGTGTTCTTGTCTCCCTTAACTTGTCTGTTATGACCACCATCATCTGTGGAAAAGATACATATAAATGAAACCCTTAGTGGTTTTATATCACACAATCATTCAATTTTAGTTAATAAATATTTTTACATTAGATCATACGGGACAAATCTTTTATTTTAATGTCATTGTATTCAAACAGGAAGAGGATGTATATGTAGAAGTCTAACTCACATTTCTTTGAAGTTTCCACAGTCAATCCTTGTCTTTGGGCTGAATTAATAGCCTACAATTGTCAAATATAAACAAACATCTGTAAAATGTGCAATTTACTGAAATATTTTAATGTGCAATATATTAAATATGTCTTGTTTTGTGTTGTTCCAGATGCATCATTCTTGAAATGAAAGCTTTTTATGATAATGTGCACACAGATCATTAAAAAATTACGCAGACTCTGTTTATATTATTTTACTCTTAGAGATGTCAAATAGCAATGAAATTTTACAGAATCATACTTCTTAAAAATTCATGTAAAATTTTTGTATTTTTTTAATACTGATTTATTTCTCCTTAAAAAAAAAATGCCGTTTTGATATACAGTATGCCAATGGTGACCATGGTGACATAAGGAGCACAGCAAAAACTTTCAATCTTAAAACTAACTTACAGAATCAAAAATGATACTTTATTTTCTATCTATAACTTGTCTGATTATTAGAAAATTTTCTCTAAAGCTTCTTAATTTTTTTGTTACATTATTACAAATTTAGATTTCTAATGTAATATTTGAAGTACCAACAAAAATATTATAATTTTCCTCTAATGCGTTCCCTGCAAATTCAACTGTAAAAATGATGTCCAGTGATTTGACTATTATCACTGTATACAATGGGTGAAGCGGGGAAGTCCCTAAAAAGTATGGGGGAGGCGTTTTCAGAGTATTTGGGAGTTTTAGGGCTTCTGACAGGTAAAACAGCAAAAGCAAGCATCTATCTTTCAAATGCAACAATTATGGCCTGTTCAGGCTATGCAAGTCGTAGATTGTCCAAATCATGCATGCTTTGACCACTTGATTGCCCTAAATATGAAATCTTTCAAATAGTTCTGAAGTGTTTGAGATGTATAAATAATATGGTAGCCAGACAAATGACCAAGACAAAGCTCAACTACTGCTGCCTTCCATGGGATATTTGTTTTTTGTAAATACATCTTACATATAATAAAAAAGAAAGATGTGACCTACATCCCTTTTCACTCCGAGGCATGAATTCAAAATATACTCCTCTATATGCTGAAAATGCTTCCCAGTAGTTTTTAGTGACTCCTCCGTGTAACCCATTGTATACAGTGATTATCAAATTGTTTATAGTGCTAGGGAAAATACCAAGTGAACAGAGACCCAAAATATGCTTGATGAAACATGTAGTATCAACACTGATGACACATGGAATGAATTCTATTGTTAAACTAAACTGGGTCCATGGGACAATACCATTTTAATGACAGAACATTCTAATATCTGGTTGATAATGAGTCAACCTTTCTGACCACAAAATATCAATAAAATTGACAATGAATTGTTTTAGACCAAGTGACACAAAGGAGAGAGAATCATAATTTATGCCATATTGTGGCATGTAATGACAATGGCCACAACGGAAACAGACCCGCTGTTCATCAGTCATGTACCAAACAATCACATAGAGTGAGACTAATCACGCATTCTAAAAGATCAGACCAAATTACTCCAACACTGATCCATCAGGGCCTGGGAAGGGGCCGCGCCATGCGCCATATGCGCATACTGTCGAAAAATGGCGCAATGAAATAATGGTGCGCAGCGCCATGCGGTGCACCCCGCAAAATGCGGGTATGCATGTTTTATTACTTTGTAAGTTCATCGCAGTCCGCGCTATCTGTATTCTTCATCGAAGTTAGATGGAATCTTGATATATTATATAATAAAATCGGAACCATCATTCGGTATATTGACATCCACTGGCATAGAAACAGTTTTTTTTCCCCATGTTGTTCGATTCGTAAGTGTCAATTCGTTTTCGATGGTTGACCACAGCTTTACCAGTTTACGAAAGTCACGCACATGGAAAATTTATATACCTTAAAATGAAAAACCCTTTCAACGAAGTCCACTTATTTTAGCCTGTCCCGTGATCTCTAAATCGTCATCGTTAAAAAATGGTGCTTTTGGTTTAAATACAATTTTTCTAAATACTAGTTGGTTAGAATCTAGATGACGATTGACGGAAAAATCATTTGTACTAGTCAATGTCATATGACTTGTCAATTCCTATCGCATTTTTCTTTTTAATTTTCCTAAATTTTATTGTCAGAGATATATGCATTATCCTATAGCATCATACTATGATTTATTTTGAATGGCCCCAATATATTTCCCCTCGGCCCCTTAAATTTCAAAATGGCCCCATCATTTTACGAACAGTGGGGCCATTGGCCCCACCTGTTGCTTGACCTTCCCAGGCACTGATCCATCTTCACTTGCTCTCAGTTCAATACAGGATCCAATATAAAATCCTTCTACACACTTTCAAAACTAGGGTTGGATACCGTTAAGGATGAAACGGTACGATACCATACTGGTATTTTTAAAACGATACGGTATTTTTAACGATACGGTACTATACCTCGATGAATGAGAAGAGAGCTCATTTGATAACAAATGTGCTTTCACCAATCTTCAACCATTCATTGTTATAATCTAAAATGAGTTTATAAACTATGTTATATTTCAATCTTTTAATAAATCATCAACAAAACAAATAAATTGAATCTCAAACAAATTAATTTAACTTGATACAGCTGACCGCTTCACCCAGTTGCCACTTGCTAGGACCAATTTTTGCTTGGTCGCACTAAACGACGAAACATTAAAAATGGATAGATATGCACATCACATTTTTTTTGCGACATTTTGCTTTTTTTTATTAAGGTCTTCCGTTCCAACGGAAGACCTTCTACTGATTCTGATGGTTAAGATTATTATTCTTTTTTTTTTCTTCTTTTTCCTAGACGCCAACTTTGAGACCTCACATCTCGCTCATTTCTCAACGGATTTTGCTCAAATTTGCAGAGTTTATAGACGTTACAAAACTCTATCAGAATGCTGTCAAACAGTTCAAAAAGTCACTTCCGCTTTTGAGTTATTGCCCTTTAAATGAAAATTTATTAAGCTTCATTTCCAGACAAAGGCTCCGAGACTACAAAAGCTGGAGCAGAAATTCTACCGAATTTAGATAATAGAAAGATTGAAGTTGTGCACATCGGTTTTTGTTTTTCGATTTCTGTATTAAAAATGGCGCTAATTAGGGGTCAAAATTTAGAACGCCTAAAAGAGCGAAAATTTAGACATATTTTCCTTTGTATCTTTAAAACTAAAAATATTTTGATAAAACATGTAGAATAAAAGTTGAGCACAATTTCAAGGCCTTTCATTTGACACCACTAAAAAGGGGCTGGCCCCTCAAATTAGGGATCTGGAGCCCTTTAAAGTTTTTGCTTTATAACTCAAAAACGGTAAATATTTCGAAATGGCTGTCGTTAAAAAAGTTGTTCTTTAACATCTTATTGATTTCATGAAAATGTTATTTTGTTCGAGTCTTGTGTTTTAAATGCGCCAGAAGCTTGACCCATATACAGGTAACTGTTTTCATTCAGCAAGTAAACGAGAGCTTTTCATGCGGGTAACTAAAATAAACTTACTATAAATAATAAATCTGGCTACATTAGATGCTAATATTCTTTAGAATAAGGTTCTTGAAGTGTTTTGTGCTTTATTTCCAAGTTATTTTTTGACAACTGTTCGTTTTATTTCATTTTTTTCAAAGTCGAATAAACCAGTCTACTAAAAAAGGGGAAAAAAGATAACCTTTTCTTCTTATCATATAAAAACAAACAATATACTGAGAAAATAAAACATTGAAGCATAGACTATTTACAGCCATTAAGTGTGCGCCTTTTACATTCACCTTGTGTGTTTACAATTATGTAACACCTCCCTCGATAGCGCGTGGCAAAGGAGGTCACCGGGGATCAATCGGCGTGTGTGATCCAGCGACCTAGTCATACACAAAACAAATAAGAGAATGGCCATTCCAAATTCATTTTGTAAACTAAGTCATGAGTGGATAAATATGTTGAATCTTTCAGATTATTTCATAATATCTTTGATTAAATCGCAAGTGCATTTTATTTAATATTTTATTCGCTGAATTACAGGAAAGTTGCATAGTTATTTTTATAAACAATTTATTTCTCGATATCGAGTTAATATCTGTTTTATTCATAATAAAATTCAAAATATGTTACCTTAATAAATTCCTACTAGTAATGGAACTTTTGAAACTTAAATGTACATGTATGTAATCTAATATACGTTCTTTTGTCGACGCCCTTAAAATGTACAACTGTATATATACAGAGCGCCCCAAATATATGCATATCGAGCGTATGGAAATACAAAATCCCACATTCACACGCGCCTCCAAAATATGTAGAATGAGACATACATGTACATGCGTAACTGTATTTGAATATTACAAATTAATTAGACACCTAACCTTGAACAAATTATTTTTTTCTACTAAACTTGTTATTGTATGCGAACAAAATGATAAACATGTAATTATTTATAGATTCCCATTATTTTTTCTGAAAATCAGAACACATTTATCAGCTCTCTTAAGGTTTTACGGATACATACAATGTACACGCATGCAAGTACAGAACATGCACGTTTAATTTATAAGTGCATATGCAAGAGCGCCCCAAATATATGCATATCGAGCGTTTGAAATTCAGAAAAATTCTAAATCCCAAGTCTTTTTTTCCCATTATCTTTGCAATAAAATATCGGTTAAACTGAAATGATTTTATTGATTTACAACATATATTAAAGTCAGTTATAGGTCCGCTGAGTTGATCATGAGTTGTTTTCATAACGGGTAGTCCTCCTGGCCAGTCATCGTCACGGTTTGTAACATCGTAATTACACAGGTAAATACTAAGATGTCAATCCATATATTTTCCATAAGAAATGAATTACCGGGAGATGTCTCGTTTTCTCTGATCATATATTAATTGACAGCGTTTATGAACAGCTGTTAAAACACAGACCTTTGTAAACCGGTAAATCACAAAAAAGAAAAATCCGAGACAAAAAACAGAAAATATAAATGTCTCTGGAAATAACATTGCCTTTAGATAACTAAAATAAATCAATGTCCGCCGATTTTTGAATTAATCTGA